TGCCACCTTCTCTGGGCATGAGCTCATTTAAAATGCACTGAGGTGAAGTGGAAAAGTGTCCTGTTGTCTGACAAATCAACATTTGAAAATGGAAATCATGGACACAGTGTCCTCCAGGCTACAGACCACTCAGATTGTTATCAGTGCACAGTTCAAAATCCAGTATTCATGATGGTATAGAGGTGCATTAGTGCACATGGCATGGGTAATGTGCACATCTGTGAAGGCACCATTAATGCTGAATGATATATACAGGTTTTGGCAACATATGCTGCCATCCAGATGATGTCAGAGAAGGCCTTGCTTATTTCAGCAAGACAATGTGCGAACCACATTCTGCATGTACTGCCGTCAAGACCTGTCACCCACTGATAACATTTGGCGCATTATGAAATGAAAAATACGTCAAATGAGACCCCGAACTGTTTCACTTTCAAAACTACATCAGTTGGTCTCCTCAGTTCCTAAATGCTTACAGCGTTGCAGAGGTGATGAAAGACAGTTGTAAACATGCCCCCGTCAACTTTTTTGGAAGGTGTTATTGGCATCAAATTCAAAGTGGGTATATATTTTTCAAAAAACAATAACTTTTCTTATTTTTCTCACTCTTTGTGGCTCCGCTTTTCTGGGAAGGCTTTCCACAAGATTTTGGAGTGTGTGGATTTTTTGTCCATTGAGTCAAAAGAGCATTTGTGAGGTCAGGCACTGACGTTGGAGAAGGCCTGGCTCGCAATTGACGTTCCAACTCATCCCAAAGGTATTCAGTGAGATTGAGGTCAGGGCTGTGCAGGCCACTGGAGTAACAATAATAGCACTTACAGTTGACCGGGGCATATCTAGCAGGGCACAAATTTCGCAAGCACTTCAGAACAACCCAATTCATTTTTCAGTTTTAGTAAAAAATTCTAAAAAAAAATAGATATGATACCAGATTTTCCAGTATTTGATGTGTTCACTCTTTTGCTTTCTCTTCAAGAGACATGCTTTCAAATTCTCAAAGAAAATTGCAATAATTCATGATTCTTGTAAACACATGTCTTAAAAATTAGTTGCATTTTATGCTTCTCATGATCCAAATCATTCCAATTACAGATTTAAACTCTGTCCATAGAATTTTACTTGATTACTTGATTTTATTTGATTTGGTGTTCTACTGCAAATCATCTGCTTTTTTGTCTGTTTTCTTTTCTTATTAACAGCTTCTTGACAGCTACTTGATTGTAATAATAGTAAAAGCAGCTATTAGTATTAGCTTCTTGATAGCAGTTGTCTTCTCACAGTGGAAGGATAGATAGAAACGCCTTTGGATTTTTTCAGATCTGAAGTGGAGCTTGATTTTCTCCTCTCTCACAAAGATGAAAGCTTTAAGTACTGGTTATCAGATGGTGACAGTTTTGGTCGTCTACCAGGTTTTGCATGTTTGTTAAACGTACCATTTTCTCTGTATTTGTTCATAATTTTTTGAATTCCAATTTTGGAAACTCCTATTTTTTCATTTTTTACTAACTTTCCCTTATGCAAGTGGATTATTTTATAACTAATCTCCTCAGAAATTTGTCCTTTGGCCATTTTAGATGGACATGAGAAAGAAATTAGCAAGGCTAAGGTGTTTGAATTGAGGTGGTTGACAGGCCGCTCAAACCCATTTTTTTTGTCATATGCAGTTTGAGCAGGACAGATTTTCTGCAGTCTGACCAGCAAAAAGCCACAGTAAGTATGACCTTTTTGAATCAAATTCAAGCTACATTTGTATGTGATTTTAAATCCGAATCTATATAGCTTGATCGTTTGTTAGTTATATGTTAAATAACAGAATCCATTAACATCTAAGCAACTGATTAGCTAAGTTTTGCCTGCTCCTCCCTAGCTAGCATATTCATGTGAGTCTAAAAATTAAATTTAAGAATCAAATCTGATTTGCCCTGCAGTGTAAATGAAGCCATTGTGTTTCTTTGAAGGGTCAGTGACACCTTTCGGAATAGCTTTTGGTGTTAAGATTGGAAGAATAGAAGAGTTAAAGTGGCAGTAGGATGCAAAAAAGTAAAGAATGGACAAATTTGTTAAATATGTTTCCTGCTTTGTTTCTGGCACTGAACAACGAATAGCATGTACCTGTACATGGCACTTTTGGCTGGAATTAAACAAAAGGGGGTCTCTGACTTTTGCATAGTGCTGTTTGCTGACTCTGATTTATTGATTGGAAATGTTGCATCTGTCCTCAAATCAAGCCCTGACTATAACACCCTTCAGGTTGCCTTACAGTCCTCGAAGATTGGATCTGCAGAAGAGTGCAGCTTCAGACATTTTAATAATCTTTAACAGCTTTAAGTTATTTCTTATGAACACTGTGAAAGCCTTTATATTCACACAACACAAGAAAACCAAGATGATTTACGACTTTAAACTCGCCATTTTTATTTTCACTTGTTCTGTCTCTTCTAAAAAAAAAAGGCCCTTGAACCATAAATGATTGTGCTTGTCCGATTGTTTTTGTCCCAGATATGTACTCCGCCCAGTGGAAAGAGAAAGAAAACAAACAGGCGGTAGTGACCTACCATCAGGAAGAAGTCCACGATAAAATATGAATGATGATAACAAAGTAAACAAATGAGTGACAGACCTTCACTGTGAGATATCTGTGAGCAACCGAGGAAAACATTTCCATTTCCGTTCATGAGCACCAAAATCTCTCCAAACACACACACACATTGCTTGTTTTTCTGTCACTGTAGAAATTCACGTTTGATCATTAATCCTAAGACTAGCCCTTCCCCTAGGCTTGTTTTTCAGGTGAGCTATAAATAGTTTCTCCTGTTAGTTATTTATTACTGCTTTGTAAATGTGAGAGTGGGGAATATTAGTCTGGCTGTTAGAGTTTAACATGTTAGGCCTGAACTATAAGCCTGTCCCCCAGCCTAACCTCAGTAACCTAAAGATGAGATTTTGGCTGCTTTGCCTTTCGAAATAAAAGTGAATTGTTTAGTTGTAAAGAAAGCTATTACTTTGTGGTGACCTGCAAACCGTCCCCACGAGGCCAAAGGATCAGTGTTTTGAGATGCCTATCCGCATGTTATGTGGGGACATTGCATCCTTGCAAGGACAGAAAAGCAAGGACGCATACACAAATAAAATGAAGAATAACAGTTTTGACACACTGCTTGCAGTAGTCAGCGCACAGAATGTACCTTGATTTTGAGTATCACATGCAAAGAATGAGACACATTTTCACATTAGCCTCTACCCTTGTTATATTGTTGTCGTGTAGAGGACAAACCACACACCAGTAAGTGTGTATATTTGATTTCATATGTGAACAAACACATAGCCACAAACTTTGTCGCTTTGGTCATGTTCAGACCAGACTCTGAATGTCAGGAAGAAAACTGTCTTAACAGCATAATTCGAAACGATTAGTAACATGAAACTTGCCAGCTTCAGACCGGCTGGTGTGCGACCTGATTGGGTGAGGCTGCTGTCAGTCAGGAAGAGTGTGTGTGGTGGAGGCTTTGTGGCCAGAGCCTAAGGAGGCAGCGGGAACAGTGAGAGAGGAACCAGGCTAGCTGTCAGGAGGACACACTCTACTCCTGTCCTGAACGAGGCTCTTGGCTCTGGCATGGCTCTGATAGAGCTCATCTTCACCCTGGTAGGGGCCTGCGTTGTCCTGTTCTGCTGCGCAAGGCTGGCACATGTGCTGATGAAGCTTTATCCGAGGGTCTGGTACCCCCTTCCTGAGAACTTTTTTACCTCAATGGGAAAATGGGCAGGTGAGACAAGGATGCATTTTGTTTCCTCATTAAAAATCAACAGACAAGACTAAACATTTGGGGCTCTGTGGTGTTTTTAATGTGGCATTCTGGTGCCATGTTTTCTCAAGTAGGAGTCTGTTCTACATGTATGGGTCTCTTTCAGTTGAGTATGCTGAAGAAACTTGATTGTTTTTGACAGTGAATCCAATGAAGACATCACAGGGAAAAGTCCAGCATGGGTTGAAAGAAGGTGGCAAAGAATAAACATGAATGTATCACCAGCAGAGACACTTAAAGACTTTGGCTTTGGCATCTTTACATTGATAGCAACTATAAACTATACAGATAGAAGAAATTCAACTAAATTACTCAATATATGATAACATTATCAGCGGTAGAGACCTCCACTTGAGTAAAAGTACAAAGGTATTTGCCTTCAAATGTACTTAAGTATCGAAAGTAAAAATACTAAAAGATTAATTATGGCTCTGATGTCCTATTACCATTTTTGTAACAAGACTCTTGCTTCATTAACTCATTTTAGTCTCTGTTCATAAACTAGCAAAAACAAATTTACTACAAAATGAAATAGTGTTTGTATAAATTCAGAAAGTTATTTCTTATGAACACTGTGAAAGCCTTTATATTCACACAACACAAGAAAACCAAGATGATTTACGACTTTAAACTGGCCATTTTTATTTTCACTTGTTCTGTCTCTTCTCAAAAAAAAAGGCCCTTGAACCATAAATGATTGTGCTTGTCCGATTGTTTTTGTCCCAGATATGTACTCCGCCCAGTGGAAAGAGAAAGAAAACAAACAGGCGGTAGTGACCTACCATCAGGAAGAAGTCCACGATAAAATATGAATGATGATAATAAAGTAATCAAATGAGTGACAGACCTTCACTGTGAGATATCTGTGAGCAACCGAGGAAAACATTTCCATTTCCGTTTATGAGCACCAAAATCTCTCCAAACACACACACATGTTTGATCATTAATCCTAAGACTAGCCCTTCCCCTAGGCTTGTTTTTCAGGTGAGCTATAAATAGTTTCTCCTGTTAGTTATTTTGTTACTGCTTTGTAAATGTGAGAGTGGGGAATATTAGTCTGGCTGTTAGAGTTTAACATGTTAGGCCTGAACTATAAGCCTGTCCCCCAGCCTAACCTCAGTAACCTAAAGATGAGATTTTGGCTGCTTTGCCTTTCGAAATAAAAGTGAATTGTTTAGTTGTAAAGAAAGCTATTACTTTGTGGTGACCTGCAAACCGTCCCCACGAGGCCAAAGGATCAGTGTTTTGAGATGCCTATCCGCATGTTATGTGGGGACATTGCATCCTTGCAAGGACAGAAAAGCAAGGACGCATACACAAATAAAATGAAGAATAACAGTTTTGACACACTGCTTGCAGTAGTCAGCGCACAGAATGTACCTTGATTTTGAGTATCACATGCAAAGAATGAGACACATTTTTACATTAGCCTCTACCCTTGTTATATTGTTGTCGTGTAGAGGACAAACCACACACCAGTGAATTTGAATATTTGATTTCATATGTGAACAAACACATAGCCACAAACTTTGTCGCTTTGGTCATGTTCAGACCAGACTCTGAATGTCAGGAAGAAAACTGTCTTAACAGCATAATTCGAAACGATTAGTAACATGAAACTTGCCAGCTTCAGACCGGCTGGTGTGCGACCTGATTGGGTGAGGCTGCTGTCAGTCAGGAAGAGTGTGTGTGGTGGAGGCTTTGTGGCCAGAGCCTAAGGAGGCAGCGGGAACAGTGAGAGAGGAACCAGGCTAGCTGTCAGGAGGACACACTCTACTCCTGTCCTGAACGAGGCTCTTGGCTCTGGCATGGCTCTGATAGAGCTCATCTTCACCCTGGTAGGGGCCTGCGTTGTCCTGTTCTGCTGTGCAAGGCTGGCACATGTGCTGATGAAGCTTTATCCGAGGGTCTGGTACCCCCTGCCTGAGAACTTTTTTACCTCAATGGGAAAATGGGCAGGTGAGACAAGGATGCATTTTGTTTCCTCATTAAAAATCAACAGACAAGACTAAACATTTGGGGCTCTGTGGTGTTTTTAATGTTTTTTTGTTTTTTTTGGCATTCTGGTGCCATGTTTTCTCAAGTAGGAGTCTGTTCTACATGTATGGGTCTCTTTCAGTTGAGTATGCTGAAGAAACTTGATTGTTTTTGACAGTGAATCCAATGAAGACATCACAGGGAAAAGTCCAGCATGGGTTGAAAGAAGGTGGCAAAGAATAAACATGAATGTATCACCAGCAGAGACACTTAAAGACTTTGGCTTTGGCATCTTTACATTGATAGCAACTATAAACTATACAGATAGAAGAAATTCAACTAAATTACTCAATATATGATAACATTATCAGCGGTGGAGACCTCCACTTGAGTAAAAGTACAAAGGTATTTGCCTTCAAATGTACTTAAGTATCGAAAGTAAAAATACTAAAAGATTAATTATGGCTCTGATGTCCTATTACCATTTTTGTAACAAGACTCTTGCTTCATTAACTCATTTTAGTCTCTGTTCATAAACTAGCAAAAACAAATTTACTACAAAATGAAATAGTGTTTGTATAAATTCAGAAAAAAGAAACATATGCAGTCACAACTGCATATGTGTACATATTTCTATATTGTGGTCCATTTATGCAAAGTTAGCTTAGTTCCATCATTTATGTTGAATAGACACTTCCAAAATTTTACACTGCTGCACTGATGTTAAACCGTATGCTTGCAGTGTGTCGGTATGTCCAACAGGTCAAGCTCAAAACAAAGTGCGCGCTGTGCCCTCAATGGTGTTTTTGCTTCACGCTGCTTTTGTTTTGACGTTACGTTTTATTCACACATAAGCCAAAAGGAACGACAGATTTCGCATAATGTAGTGGAGTAAAAATTAAGACATTTGACTTTGAAATGTAATGGAGTAAAAGTAAAAAGTCACCCAAAAAGTAAAGTACAGATACACGAAAAAACTACTTAAGTACAGTAACGAATTACATTTAGTTAGTTACTGTCCACCACTGACAATATATAATAATATAGTATATTGTTGAGCTGTCATTCACAGAGAGGATATGATCTCATTCCTGAATTGCACTTTGCACTATTTCCAAAGGCAAAGACCCTCCTCTGATGTGGCATTCCACGTTTAAATTGGGAAGTTGGGTTTCAGTATTGGAGGCTACTTTCAATTGGTCTCCTCGTTCCCAAGCTTTGAGTCCACTCCATTCCAGAAATGCGAGAGGCAATTAGAACGCGGTGTTCCAGGGTGTATTATTACTGATTTCCTTCTCCTTCAGTTTGAAAAGGTTTGTTTTTTTTTTCTTAAGCTCATATAACGTGAAATTAACATAACCTTGTCTCTCATTCTGCAAGCAGCTTGTTCTTTCACTGTGAAAAGCCCTATTTGGCATGTGTGAATGGCTATTCATGCACCAGTCTGGATGCCCTGTCATCTTGTGTTGTTTTCTTTTGCCTGCCTGTTTAGATGCCACACACCTGTTTTTATCTCCTTCGCCTCTCTCTGAGGCATTACACTTGAAGATGAGGATCAAAAAAACAGGCCACAGTGACCAGTCTCAGGCAAAAACAAATGAAAGTACATACTGATTTCACATTGCAGTGTGGCCCAGTGTTCTAATATTTACTGTCAAATAGAGTGCTAAAACTATAAAAAAAAACTGTGCATTTACTGTAAAGATGTCTGACATGTTAATTTATTTTTTTTACACTTTCAGATGCATTGAAGCCATTTTTTTACATTTTCAGATGCATCAGAGTCATTTTTTACTTCTTCACGATGTATTACAGTCATTTTGTTTACATTTTCAGATGCATTACAGTCATTTTGTTTACATTTTCAGATGCATTGCAGACATTTTTTATTTTTTTTGGATTAGAGTCATATTTTACATTTTCAGATGTCTTTTTACATTTACATGTATGTATTGAGCAGAGTTGCATCCTTGCAAATACACCTTGCTGACATTTACATTTGCATGTCTAGTAGCAGTTCAGTGCCAAATCACCAACATACCCGACTAAGTGTATCTTTCTGATGTTCTTGGTGGCTCAGAGAATTTCCGGTAGGACAAGATGGGAGATATTTCGAAGGAATGCAGCGCTGTGTACACTAGTGCTCCCTGATCCTTTATCAAATCTGGGCACAAGCTGTCTCTTCAAGTACACACTGTTAAAACAAATGCACACACACACACGAGCGCCCATCCTCTGCTCTGTTTGTGTGTACGTGTGTGTGTGTGTGTGTGTGTGTGTGTAAGAGAGTCAGCAAGAATGGTGGGAAACCTGCTTATCTATTGAAACACTCAACTTGAAGCAGCTTTGGTTTGATACGGTCGTCACAAGTTCTTAAACCATCACGCATCCATAAACAAGCACTGTCAGAGCAAATTCTCTGATTTGGCACAAAGGCATTTTTGTGCAGTGTTACTGTTAACATGACTGATGTCATCACAGCACAACACAGTCTTTCATGAATAAGAGATTTATCTACTGATAGATTTGGTGTAGTAGATAATTTTGCATATTTTCTCCTTTGCAGTGATCACTGGTGCATCAGATGGAATAGGAAAGGCTTATGCACAAGAGGTAACGTGACATGCTGAGAATTCTGTCATTCAGTAAGTTTAAAGCCTTTAAACTGCAAAGACCTGTAGGCCCACACTTCAATTTCTCAATCTCACGTCTACATCAGCTACATGTTAGCTTCACAGGTGTTCCTAAATAATTCACAGTAGATACTGGCCGATACCATTGATTTTCTTTTTTAGCATCATACGAAGTGATACTAAGGCTAATATCTCAATACCAGTACTGAGACATTTGAAAGTCATTCTGTGCACATAACACTGGGGAATCTGTTTGATTTCTACTGTATAAATTGGTGAATGCAGACTGCATGAATCTAACAAGTTCAGTCTAAACTTGTGTCTATTCCTCAACCCCATTACTGTAAAAATTTTGCTCCTCACCAAATCACAGGTGTTTCAAGAAATTATGGGTGTTGACTAAAATAACAGGGACTATGGCTAAATGAGCTAAATAGGCTGAACTGGCATATTTACAGAAATGATTATTAATGTGCATGTAAGACTAAATCAAAGTTAGTATGACTATTACATATATGTCCAAAATACTCACTCATTTTACGATCAACTTAGGATCAACTTAATTTACCTAAAGGGGAATCAAAATTTCTGTGTAATTCAGTCACTGAGATCTAAACAAAGTCATTCAGAGTAGTTTGATGTGAAATGATTCATTGTAGATAAAGTTGCCAACTTGTAATCTTCATATCTCTACAGTTAGTTTTATATGTGTTGTTGATAATGGTAACATAGATAGTAAATATGGAAAAATAAGTTTTCTTTAAAGACCTATTCCCCTCCACTACGAATGGCTTTTAAAAACATATATTTTAGGCCAAATACTTACCTCAAAACTTTTGTAAAACATGTCTCAGACATCAGGCAGCAGCTATGTAATGTAGTAACTTTCTGTGAGGTAGTTTTTAAAGGCATTAAACATTTTAGACATCTGGTTCCTATCACCACCACTGTGAACAATTCTGACTCGGTAAGTTTCTCTAGAATGGAGTAAATCAAACCACTCTAAATGACTTTGTTTACAACTCAACCATTTAATTATGCAGAGTTTTTAAAGAAGAAGATCCTCTTTAAGTGTATACAACAGTAAAAATGTGCTTTGTTCATTCAACCCATTTGAGCTTACTTAACTCATCAGGTTTTAGAGTTCAGATATCTCTGAAAGCCTTTATTACCTGGATCAGGTGTTGATTAGGGGTGGAGCTAAACTCTGCAGTGTGGTAGATCTCACTGATAAGCATGGGATTAAAGGCAAGCACTCATGTTCATTAAATAACTGAATAATGAGTCTGCAGTTTAAAGGGTTAAATGCTTTACAATTCATTTTACTTATACGTTTCCTTTTGAGGTCAGTTGTAAATGTCTTGACTGGTCTTTACAGTTGGCGAGGCATGGGCTGAACGTGGTGATCATCAGCAGGACCAAAGAGAAGTTGGACAGACTGGCGAGGGACATAGGTGCAGTGCTTCATCCTCTACATCAATATCTCTACTCCTGTGATCTTTAGGCTCACACTTCTCTTCTTTTTCCCAACAGAGGTTAAAACGGGGGTAAAAGTCATAACTATTGTCACCGACTTCACCAAAGAGGATATTTATGGAGTCATCAAAGAGAACATTCAGGGTTTGGATGTGGCTATTTTAGGTTGGTTGGCTCAAAATCTCACGCAGTTGGGCATGTATGCACTTATCATCTACCAGATCATACAAAGAATTAAAAAGTAGACCAAGCAAAGGTTTCATAATTGATCTTATATGATCCAATCCAGTGTTTCTTAGGCCAGTCCTTTGGAACATCCAGGCAATCCACATTTTTGTTCTGTGCCAGCTCCCAGCACACCAGGACCAAGGGGGTCTTCAGGGACTATATAGGGAATTCAGTGATCTCTTGTCTATCTCAGTCAATCTAATAATCGATTTTACACCTTGCAGTTAACAACGTGGGCAAGCTGCCAACCTTTATACCCTGCAGACTACTTGAAATAGATCACCTGGAAGAGGTGAGAGGTTTTTATGAATTATAGAAATTACTTTTACTATCTATACACTGACATGTTAATTCCTTAAAATCTGTAGTCGTATTGGTAAGACTTATTATTCACTAAGTTTTATGTATTATTCAGTAATTACTACAGAACTGATATGTATGTTGTGAGAGAAGAGAACCCATTTATGGTCCATTAGATGTTTATTGCTTTTTTTTTTCTTCAAACTTCAATTCCAAAAAAGTTGGGGTGGTATGCGAAATGCAAATGAGCACAGAAAGCAGTAATTTGTAAATCCACTTTGACCTGGATTTAAACAAAAACAGTACAAAGACAAGATGTTTCACCTTTACACTGATTCTGAAATTGATGCCTGCAACAGATTTCAAAAAAGTTGGGACAGGGACAGATTAAGACTAGGAACATAGTGAAATAAACAGGTGATGCAATCATGCTTAGATATTATGGGAGCATCTAGTAAAAGGCCTAGTCCTTTGAGCAGGGATGGGTCGAGGCTCACTACTTTGCCAAAAATGTGTCAGCAAATAATCCAACAGATTAAGAACAATGGTTCTCAACAAGCAACTGCAAGGATTTTATGTATTTCACCCTCTATGGTGCATAATATCATCAAAAGCTTATCTTAACATCAACCAGTTACAGCTCCTCCCAACAAAAGCTGTTCCCAAAACTCTCACTGACATTATGAACCCCTTCAAAGACATGAATGTTCACATAATCAGCTACCCAAACATACATTAGCTGTACATCTGAAATGACTAAAGCAGATATTTGTGATGAGATTAGACATGAGAGAATCCACTTGCATAAGAAAAAGGAAAGTTGAAGGAAAATAAATGAAAAAACAAAACTGCAGCACAAAAATATATTAAAAGATAAAGACCTGATTGACCAGCAAAACTGTCCCCATAAGATAAACAGTACTTAAAGCATTCATCTTTAACAAAGAGGAGAAAATCAAGCTCCATTCTTGCTTCAGATCTGAACATTTTCTGTGAGAAGACAACTCAACACTATGAGTCTGAAAGGATGTGTAGCTTTCAAGAAGCCCTTACTGTGAAAAAGAAAAAGATTAAAAAAAAAATGACTGATGAGTATAAATTTGTAATTGGGCAGAAAATTCAACCAACTTCTAAGACTGAACTTTGGAGGTGATTCCAAGAAGCATGGCAAAATATCCCTGCAGACATCGAAAAATAGAAGCTGTAATAAAGGTTCTCAGTAAACACTGAGAAAAATGATAGTTGTTGGGGCATTTTCTGTTAAATATCTGCTTTTTTTCATGAGGCTGAAACATTAGTAATTATGTATACAGATACACAGTACCGTACCTGCTACACTATGTTGTATTTTAAATTTAACTTATAAAGATGCTATTTTTCTTATGGACCGAATGCTTTAGCCCAGCAGCAGCATAAAATTAAAATGATGTTGACATAAAATTTAAATAATTGCTTTAATATTTCTGAATAGTGTTATTCTCTAATAGAAAATGTATCAAGTAATCAACTGCAACGTCAAAACAACGGTCAAGGTGAGTACACACACGTTTGCACTCAGAAGTTCCCAATGAATTTGAAGTTTTGCAAACAAAGTCTCTTGTATGTAAACAGAGCTCAGACAGGCACGCTACTTTTATTTGTGCTACACCTTCAGTACATGTTCAGAAAGCTTGCATTGCCAGTTTTTGTATGCATGACGCACTTGCATGATTCTTTTAATGCAGATGTGTCGCATCATCCTGCCTGGAATGGTGGAAAGGTTAGAAACTCCAAGCAGTAACAGGTTTTCCATTTCTTGATTTCTGCTTGCACTCCAGCAGTGACAGCTCCATTATGTCTGTGTTTCCCCAGGGGACGGGGCATCATTCTGACCGTGTCCTCCGGCATAGCAAAAATTCCTTGTCCTATTTACACTCTATACGCAGCTACGAAGGTATCGTTTCAAAAGAGTTTCAAATCATGTACATATTTTCCTCCTTACTTCAAAATATAGTTGGTCAGTCTAGACAGGTTTGGTGTCTGATGTTTGCTTGTTTAGTTTGGCACTGGAACTATAAGGCTAATGTAGCTAACAAGTCATGAAAGTTCATGAAAACTAATTAGCATTGTGCCAACTGCGTTATACATTTGCTTTAAACCATGTTGAGATGTTAAAATTCCACCAGATTTTCAAAATTTCTGCATAATTCAGTGGTTGAGATGTGAAATAATTCATTGTGGTTAAACTTACTGACAGTGGTGGTGATGGGAACCAGGGGGTCACAATGTCTGCAATGCAAATATAACCATTTTATTTACTATCCAAACCCACCAGTAAACTTACACACCTCCTCTGATTTTTTGTTGATAATGGTAAAATAAAAATAAATAAAAATAAAATAAAAAGTAGTGAAAAATATTTTTTCTTTAGGGACTATTTTGCCTTACAGCACCCTGCATGTACCCCTCCATCATGAATAAATTTAAAACCTTATAGGCCAAATCCTTCACAGAACTATCATAAAATAATGTCTCAGACATCAGGCAGTGTATTCATAACCATTTTAAAGGAATTAAACTCTTCAGACGTCTGGTTCCGATCACCACCACTGTGAACAATTCTGACACTGCATGATATATGGTTATCTATTACACTGGACCAAAGTACAGACAAAATTCAAGCTTGAAGCTTTATTCTTATTTTTTGGAAAAGTTCCTTTAAAGTAAGGTTTCATTTCTTCATGTGTTCGTATGGCCTTCATGAATGAGCTCAGCAGTGCTACTTGAATTAGGAATTAGAAAGTAAATACAATTAGTTCACTGCAAAGAAATGAAGAAAAAACACATTTACTTCTTTATTCACTGCACACTCTTAAAAATAAAGGTTCCTAAATAGTTCTTGCTTTTGATAGACAGTCCAAGGAAGAATCTTTCATTGGTATAGAACCTTTACATCATGTGGAGGATCTTTAACCCCTTAACAGGCCGGGACCCTCTTTTATGACACACTTCAATAACCTAAGAATAGCTCAAGCAGTTTGCCCTGAAGTCCGTGTAGTTACTGAATAATAAGCCTTAGTATGTAGTAAACCTGAGATCTTAAGGGGCTAAACTTTAAAAAGGTTCTTCATACTCATACATCTTATTTGTGAAAATGGTTCTTTGAAGAACAATCCATTATAAGGTTCTTTAGGGAACCAAAAGTGATTCTTTTATGGGATTTATGTGATCTGATTTGTTTTAACCAGAAGTTATCTCTCCTAATATTTGCAATCAGTCAACCCTGCTCTGAGTGGAGTTGGTTAAACCCATGTAATCTCTCACTATAATTAGGGATCTCACTTATTGTTCAGAGGACCATGATTGATAACAATAATTAGTCAATAATGATATTATATTAGAATATTGAATCTGAGTTTCTTGATGTTCTATCCAGACTTCCCGGCCCTCAGCATTTTAGTTCAGTAATGTTTAGATGTCACTGTTATCAGTTTAACTGTAAAGAACATTCAGTGCTTAAATAAAGTCATAACACAGTTGTTACAGGAGCTTTTCCTTTGTTTTTCAGAACATTTCTGAAAAATCCAATAGCTATAATCAATGTCAACCAAAGTGCAATCCATTTGTTACCATTTGTAGAGAAACTTGCCAACTCAGATGACTTTACAGTGGTGATGACAGGAACCAGACATCACAATGTCTACAAAGCAAATCTAGCCATTTTATTTACTATGAAAAATGACTGTGCACCTGCACATGTCTTCTGAGTTTTTATTGACAGTGGTAAAATAGTGATAAATCTGGAAAAAATGTTTTGTTTTTTCTCTGGACTATTTTGCCTCATAATCTCCAACACAGAATTTAAACCATTAAAACCATTAAAACCATAAAACAATCAGACAGCATATTCTCATGTAAAAACATTATGTAAGGAAGCTTCTAGAGACTTTACACACTTCAGACATCTGGTTCCTATCACAGTGTCTACAGATGACCAGTGAATCTACATGTGTCGTATTTGGCCTGCATCTACCTCTCTAACATGAATGGATTTTTTAGGCCAAAGCCTCATATCAAAACTATCCTAAAACAATGTCTCAGGCATTAGGCAGCATATTCGTCTTTCTGTGAAGAAGCTATTGGAGACATTAAACACTTTAGAGGTCTGGTTCCTATTAACAATTCTAACTCTGTGAGCTTCTCTAGAATGGAGCACTCTGAATGCCTTTTTTTTTACACCTTAACTATTAACTTATGCAGAAATTAAAAAAAATGATTTGGTGGAATCTCCCTTCAGAATCAACTATAAATAGCTGTGAAGTTGATTGTCTTACTTTTTACAGTGTGTCCATTTGCCATCTCCTGGATAACCTGTACCTGACATCTGATTTAATCTCCCTCAGGTTTTTCTTGAGAGGTTCTCACAGGGTCTCCAAGCTGAATACAGATCCGATGGAATTCTTTTTCAGGTAGATTTAGACATTTCTGAACACTATTGCGCATTTTACCAACAAAGAAGTCCATGTTGTTAATTGTTAAGCTATTATTAAGTGTATAATGCAGAAATTCTTATCAAGAAATGATCTTTCCCATAGACAGTGTCTCCTTTTGGAGTCTCCACAGCAATGACGGGCTATCAGAAAACAGACTTCTTTACATTCACAGCGGAGGAGTTTGTGAGGAACTCACTGATGTATCTGAAAGCAGGAGAACAAACATATGGCAGCATCGTCCATGCAGTTCTGGTAATGTGATAAGACATAACATTGTTAAATATCCTCATCTCACATGTACAAGTGGAGACATGCCTGTCCTGAGTTGGTTATTTTATCCTGCAGGGTTGGGTCATTCAGGCCATCCCCACCTGGGTTCTGAGAAGTGAAGCGTTTCACCACAACTTTCAGGAGTTTGTGAAGAAGAAAATGGACAGCTGAGCGCTTTTTCTGTACTGCAGCCTTTCAATACAGCAGTTTATTTTTTCTTTTGCACTAGTAACTTTAGTTTGCACTAGATGATGGCATTGCTGTCCGAGATGCTCCACTGGGGAAGCCAAAGGTCAGACTGACATAGCATTCGTTCACCTTAGCAGCCACTTAAGATGCTAGAATGGATACTTTTCACCCATAGAATTATCTCAGAATCTTTGCACTTCCCATGAGGATGATCAGTGGAGCAGGGCTGGGTGACCCTGCTTCTTAATTGCTCCCAAGATGAAAGAGACAGAGTGCACTGAGAGAAACAAAGAAAGACAGAGAAACAGTCCTTTCATATTTGTTTCAAGAAAAATAGCAATTAACCAAGCTATCATGAAAATCTGTAATGCACACTTCAAGCTTGACACTACATTTCAAAGGTTAAATATATATATATATGCACACTCACCGGTCACTTTATTAAGTACACTTACCTTGTATCTACACTCATTGTCCGTTTTATCAGCTCTACTCACATAGGTGCACTTTGTAGTTCTACAATTACAGACGGTAGTCCATCTGTTTCTCTGCATACTTTGCTTCTTCAGTTTATTATTGGAGCTTAGAGGCAACAACCACTAGAAGTCAATAGTCACCCAAATCTTTACGGTAAATACATCCCCATAACATTTCTCAACCTGCTCAAAGCACATTTAGCTCTTCATTAAGGTTGTCCAGGCTTGGTTTAGAGCAAGTACGACACACTGTGAATTTAAAAAATATATATTTTAATATAACATAAATTGTAAAAAATGACATTTTATACTACAGTGTTGTGCTGAATTTCAACTCCCCTGCAGAATCCAGCTCCCCGTTGCGTACACACACACGGACTCTAGATTGTGTTTGCGATATCTGTTGTTTTTAGCAGAAATAACAAACATAAGCCATGGCTTCCATATGTCTGCGTGATGTGTGCATATAAAACTGCTGCCTGCTGTTCTTTCATACAATTTACAGTAAGTCCCACATCAGAAAGTCTGCTTGACCTTAATGAAGAGCTGGATGTGCTTTAAGTAGGTTGAGAGAAGTTTTGCCGATGCATTTACAGGAAGGATTTAGGTGATTATTGACTTCTAGTGTCGGTTAGCAACATCAGCCTCATAGCAAGAGCGCTAAACTAAAGAAGCAAAAACGTCTTCACTGATCAGCAACATCTAGGGTAACGGAAAAGTGTCAAAATCTGATTTTTCACCAAATCTTTCCTTTAATCACCTCAGTGTCACTGCTGGGCTGAGAATAGTCCACCAGTCAAAAATATCAAGCCAACAGTGTCCTGTGGTCAGAAACTGACTGCTGATGAAGGACTAAAGGATGACTAACAATGTCAACTGTATAGCAACAGATGAGCTATCATCTCTAAATTTACATCCATGAGGTGAACCACAAAATAGATGTGTCTAATAGAGTGGACAGTGAGTGGACAGTGAGTGTTTAAAAATTCCAGCAGGACTGCTGTGTCCAGTCATACCAGCACAACACACACTAACACACCACCACCACGTCAGTGTCACCGCAGTGCTGAGAATGATCCACCACCCAAATAATACGTGCTCTGTGGTGGTCCTGTGGGGGTCCTGACCACTGATGAACAGCTAATAAATAATACAGAGAAACAGATAAACTACAGTTTGTAATTGTAGAACTACAAAGTGCACTTATGTGGTAAGTGGAGCAGATAAAAGAGTGTAGATTCAAGGAAAGGGGGTCAGTGAGTGTATTTGTTATACAGTGTAGGTTTAAATATTCTAAACTAGATATTAGCTGGTATTTTAGAAGCTTTATTCAGTCTTTCAGGAATTTTAAGAACAACAAGAAATTATAGTAATAAACTAATTGTGTAATCTATTTATAATCATTTTTCTGTCTCAATATTTCATCACCACTTTTCAAATTCGAGGCATTCTGGATGTTAATGTTCTCTTTATTCTCAATGTTGTACAGCTTTCTCAGTTATTAGACTTTTCTTCAGCTCTTCATCATTTGGACACATCAAAAATATCTTTAGTTACAGTTTCCGGTCTTCTCACTACATTAGATTATGAACATCATTTTATATATTTACAGTCGGATACAAGTTAGAACACAATTTGTAGTTATTGGCTGAGTTTAACACAGTGGGAAAAAAATGAAACATAAAATAGAAAAGGTGCCGTAACTTTTGCATAGGCTACATTTCATGTTTTAATAAGTTTCCCCAATATGTCAAATTCAGCAAATAAACAGTAATTGTGCATTAAAATGTGCAGCAGTGTGTTCACCATAGAGGATGTGTTAACATCAACAACACATGTCATTTGACCAGGGGTGTCAAAAGTTTTGCATACAACTGCGTCTACAACTTAATGTGGCTTTATATTATTGAAAATGCTGATTCCAAACTCTTGAATGATAGTCTATGAGATGAAATTACAGTGGGACAGAATTATAAAGATACATGGCTCCACCTAGTGGACACATCTGCTCTCAGCTCAAAGCCTCTGTCTGACATTGAGAAGCTCACTGTCATCAGCATCAGACCAAATGTGACTCTGACCTTGACACCCACCTTAGATTCATTATCCAGCAGAGACAACATGCTGTCTTCGTCCTCTTGGAATTATAAGGTTCTACCTGACATTTTTGTCAAAACTGAGTTATTCACATAGTTTCTGCCAACTTCTAAACATTATGTGAGATGTTTTTTTTAAGGTGTGGGCATTTTTGGACTCTTTATCTAGGAAAACAAAAAGGTTCTATTTCCATAGTCAAACTCTAATATAGTTCTATAAGGTTCAATCAGCACTTTCAATACACACAAGAAGACCAATCAGGTTCTGCTTCTTTATCATGTCGCCGCTCTGCTCAGTGACTACGGGAAAAATGTATAAAACTTTATGAAACATAAAAACATGTTGCTGAAACTCTGCCTGTCTACTTGCAGTTTTTTGAAAAGTCTTATTATCTTAAATTTTATAAACATTATCTCTTAAAAGTTATTAAAGAGTCTACATTTGAATTGATGGGGTCTTAATTACAACATAAACATTAATTTCATTCGTTCATCCATATTTTCGTTTTCTTCTTTCTCCCAAAATAAGACATTTTAGCTCTTTAGAGTCACATTTCTGATCTAAAACAAAACCTCACACTGCCTGTAGACTGACCTGCTACACTTACTTGCTGGGACAGTTCATTACAGTAGCTGGTTTCTGTCTAATCTAAAGGAAACTTAAACTAATGGTTTCTACCTAAAACTGACCTCTGCACTGGACAAAACATTTAGCAATGACCTATATAATTAATCTGAAATGATCTGTTGAATAAGACAAAGATGATTTGTCCTAAAACAAGACATAAATGTCAAAAACAAAAAGCAAGTAAATGTCATAAAATGTCATAGAAAGTATTAAATGTACATTATTGATAATGTTGACGCTTTGATAGAACACCAATTTTGTTTTAAAACAATTTACAAATAAAATGAATTGTTCGCATGTTTTGTCAGATACAACCTTAGAACTCCAAGCAGAAAGTGAGTTCTTAGGATTAGAAGGTTCTGTCTGCATTTGACCTGTTCCAAAAAAACTCATTTACAAATTTGACAGGATTTTGATGTTGTACATTTAGAAGAAATTTAGGGTGTCTGTCATTTTCATGTATGAAAGAGACGTGTTCCATATGTCAGTTATGCTATTTGGAATGCAAAATATCTGAAGCTCAATATCTCAAAACTGCTAAGAACACAGATGGAACCTTATCATTCTAACCTGATGTCTTATTCTAAAACCTTGCCCTATTGTTATTTTTAAAAAGTGATAATCATAAAATGACAGCCTAATTACTTTTAAAGCAATATCACACAGATGAAAAACTGAAACAAGAAAGCAAAGTGTGCACATCCTCAAAAATATATACAGTAGCCTACAGGTCCTCGATCAGCAAAAGCAAAGACCAAAAAATTGGCCTCCTGTTGCTCCCAGTATCAAAATAATTGATTAACATTATGTGACATTTCAGGCGAAAATGCCATTCATCAGATTAGCAGGGATGGCGGATCTATACTGAAGAAAGAATCTTCAGATCCTGTTGTTTCCTTTAAACATTGATCTTTACATAAGTATATTGATAGCAAGTGTTTTCTTTAAGCAGCGCCCACTCACTGTATTAGATACTCCTAATCCATCACCTGGTCCTCAGTGGTCCTGAATGAGGAAAAAGGAGGGCTAATAAATTCTGCAGAGAAACAGATGGACTACAGTCTGTAATTGTAGAACTACAAAGTGCACCTATACAGTAAGTGGAGCTGATAAAATGGACAATGAATGTAGATACAAGGTCAGTGTACCTAATAAAGTGACCAGAGAGTGGATTTGTTACATAATACATTCAAACATTATAAACTAGTCTCCAAAAGGTACTTTAATTTGAGGATCAATGAGAAGTTACTAAACGATACTGTAATTATCTATTTTCAATCATTTTTCTTTTTGTTTTCTGCCTTGAGATTTGATCACCACTTTTCAAACACGAGTCGCACAGGACTGGCATATTATTAGCATAATTAATCTTTTTATCCGTTTATTTAATACTAATGCAAAGACTTTTCAAATGTCCACATTTAGTGGATAGTATGGTTGCTCGATTATGGCAACTATCATAATCATGATTATTTTGGTCAATATTGAGATTATTTAACATGATTACTCATTGACTTTTACTGATTACTGATGATTACTCATAAATAAAAATTGGTTTTGCTAACAGTGGATTTCCTTAAACTTTAGATATGATTCAATTTAAAAAAATTTTTTTTGTAAAAATAAATGTAAAAAATGTAAAAATAAATAATATTCAGTGTACAGGTCAAGGGAAAGGGGTGCCTGGATTTATAACGCAAGTGTCACTACAAAATGGAATGTGGCACAATAATCGTTTTATGTCATTTATCTTTTTTTATAACTGTTGAAAGCCAAAATCATAATTAAAATAAAATTTGATCAATTGCCCAGCCCTACACCCCCTTTTTATGAGCACAAGAAGTATCAGTATTGGGACTGGGATATTAGCTTTGGTATTGGATCGAACGAAAAATCAGGGATATCGTCCATCCTTACAGAATTACTGTATTACTACTGATTTACAGCGAGGAAGCTTAACCTGATCTACTGCACATTTTCACTTTACTTGTCATCATCTGACCAATAGAGGGCGCCGTTTGCCAGGTTCTATAGATGAGCGGTTCTGCTGAAGACGACAGCTGGCCTGAATCTCTCTGAAGTATAGAACACACACTTCAAACAATCAGAGGAAAGATGCAGGGCATAAACAAATGATAGTCGAATAGGGGGGATTTCCAAAGCAGACACTTCACCTAATAAAGCTGTTTATCCTCCAGTGGTCCAAGTCAGACAGTAAATTTATTTGACAGGATGACTATTACTTTCAGCTGATATGTTGTTTTGGTTTTACTACAGGGAATTTCCAATGTTAATCTAAAGCACCAGAGCCATCTCTAAGTATCTGTACACGAAACATGTTTAAGAAATACGCCACCTGTTGCAGCAACATAGATGTAACTCGATACTGTGTTGGTGTTTGAGCGTCTGTATCAGCCTGTGCCTGGCTCCTTTATCAATACCAGATTATTTTTAACTACAAGCTGTTAAACATATCTTCGAGTGAATTAATGAATGTCGGGACACGTTGTTATGAGTCTGTCTAGTAGACAAAATGCAGCCTCATTCAGGTGCTGAGCTCCGACTGTGAAAATTCCTACTTTTCTACAGTGAAAGAATTTTCATATTATATGCTCACTACCAAGTAAAGAGTCATTCTTAGCTCTAATAAGGATGTAACCTGCTGTAGTCTTGGGTCTGAAAACTATTCTTCTCAGGGGTCAAGAGCTTGAACTGTAGGTAGTGTTTCGGATTACTGAGCTTTGAGGACATTAATCAAATGTACTTGCGTTACAGTCAAGGGTCTGAAGCAAAATGTTTTTAAATAGTACTTAATATATTTACTGCCATCTATTTAACCCAGAGGTCAGCCTGGCTCTTTTATCAATACAAGATTATTTTACTGCCCTTTTGCAGTTGAATTCGATTTTTAGGTAAAAATAAAATTATACTTTTTTTGCAGTAAAATAAAACTTTGCTTGATCGTTCTAACACAGTTTTAACAATAAATGGTCTTAAATGTTGAAATTAATGTATAACATGCTAATTCACCGACCTTTAACCCTGAAGGATGGCGCGTAGACTGCTGGTCACACAGCAACACACAGCAATCTCACCTAGATAGTAGCTAACAAAAAGGCAAAGAGAAAGTTTTTTTTGAACATCGATAATTTGGAGACAAACTGACTTATTTGCTTTTTTAAGCACTCCAGCTGGTTTCCTGATATGTTCAATCTGCAGCGAGAATCTGTCAAACACAAAAAAGACACTTAAATGAGCTTAAATGAGTTTCTCGTTCACCAACTTCTTGTTCGAATCCTCCCGTTCCACCTTAAATGGTGCCTGAGGCGCCAAAATGTAACTGCTGCACCATTTAAGGTGGAACAGGAAAGTTCGAACAAGAAGCTGGTGAATGAAAAGCTGACTTCAGCCTCATAAAAAGTCAAATGTTGCGAGACATTCGACAGAGACATACAAGAAATTATTCTACTGTTAAGCAAAAGTTTCCTGCCAGAGATGTGAGATAAGCAACTATAACTGCGCTAAAGCTTAAAGCAGAGCAAAGTAAGTCAGCGTTTCATGTATATTATATTTTATAATCCATAGCAGGTCAAGCCAAGGTGGTAAACTGGACATAAATGTTGTGGCTCCCAAAGTGGTTTGATTTTTGTTAAAGGACAAAATGGCTTATCTTAACATTTGGGTTGTGACTCCTGATTTAACCAAAGTTTTTTTTCCCAAACGTTCCATTAGTTTGCACTGATGTAGGCCTACTTTTACATTGTAAAATGCTTCATGTTCTATGCTGATAGCAGTTCATAACAATGGCCATTTTTACATTTTTATTATTTCTGTACTCGTCTTTTAAAGTCTGATCCGTTTCATCAGGCCTTCAGGAGCATCTGATGTAAGAATCAGGTGGATATGATTAGAGCTACAATAAAACTTTGCAGAAGAATCTCCAGGAGCTGAACTAATGAAGAATCTGTTAGATATACATGATTGCTGCAGATGTTTAGATGTTCAAATCCTTTTGCTCTGGGTTAATAGACTTGTTAAGAAACAATTAATAAAATGTTGAAGCTTTTTTTAACAGAATGAATGTTGCTTCCAAACTTTACTTTTGCCTGTTGTTCACTTTCAAGTCTTAACTGTTTTTCCAACGGTTCTATGTAAAACCAAAAACCATTGGAATGCATTAATGGCTCTTCTCTGTGATAGAAAACCAGCTATATATTTTTCTTTACAAAACCATTTTGAAATGGCTGTCGATAGCACCAAAAAAGGTTCCAATACTGCCAAAAAAGAAACCAAAGAACCTTTTTCAGTACTATATAGAACCCATTTAGCCAAGTGTGTGTACTGTGGGTTTCGGAATCGGCCACAAAAGCACTGTTCCTAATTTGCTTTCACTAATTTCTAAACATATAAGCACATAAGCCCATATTTATGACAGGAAAACGATGAAGGTGGTAAGAAGTGCCTTGTCATCATCTTGCTACAGACTGCTTACAATCTCAATAAGCTTTGCTTGTGTGGCCCAACTTCAAGGAGTTCAAGTCCTTACACACATAAACAGCAGGCAGATGTAGAGGGAATGATTGTTTACCGAGCATCCGATTCCCTAAACAATGGCTCAAATGACACTGAACTCTGGCAGCCTAACAGAGAGACTGTACTGATCTCTCGTTGGTAAATATTTACCCTAATAAAAAAATCCATTTTTTTTACTGGCCAAAGATGTC